AGGCTGAGTAAAACCGTCTATGTGTTCAAGTGCCATTGACACAAATGGAGTTGCGTGGGAGCTTCATGTTAATGGACAGAACTGTACTGGTATGACTGCATCTGGATCTTGGTACCCCCTTTTTTCTCTCTCCTCTAAGAAGGAAGCTTGTTTTTTATGCAACTTGCAGTAATAGGAAGATACCAAGTTGGTCCATGTGGTTTGTGTAGCTTGAAGGGCAGGAAGCTTCTTCCTGCCCCTCAAAGGCTGTGTTCATGACCTCCATGATGGAGATGCTCACTGCTTTTATCTGTACAGCCAGCCTTCAGTCAGATGACTGTGCACTATCTAACTATATAATGTCTTAAATTTGGTGCCTTCACCTTTTAAAGGCCTAGTGAGTTGTGTCCTTTGCAAGAATTTGGGTGGAAGAAGCAAAATTACAGCTTCCTTCCCCAGCTGAGGAAGCCAGGCTTCCACAACACTGCTATGCAGTATAGCCCATATCAGTACCATCTAAGGTTCTGATTGATAGAAGGGGGAAATTTTAAAGAGCTAGTTCAACTTTCTAATGCTAGTAGACTACTACAGAATACTCTGTAATAGTGACTCTATCTAGATGTGTGTGTAAAATAATGTTGAACTTATCTAGCCATCTGAGGCATGGGCCTTCTGGCTGAACTGCAGTAGGGTTGAGGTATGAGGGTGGAGGTGAGGTATACAAATATAGGAGCTAACCAACCATCTCTATATAGTAAGCCTAAACCTGCCTGAGCTCTCGCCCACTGAGCTCAGCATTCTGGCTAAAGAAAGTGTGGGTGTTTTCTTTTTTTAAAAAAGAGCTTATTACAGTAGATTATCTTGAGGCTATAAAATGTGCTTGGAATAACTACTATTCAGCTTCTTGGCCTTTGTCTCCCTACAGATGTGGATGAATGTGCCCTGGAATACAATCCCTGCAGCCAGTTGTGTCAGAATACCATTGGCTCTTTTACATGTGGCTGTATGCAGGGCTACTGGCTCCACAATGGGACTATGTGCAGGGCTGCTGGTACGTATGGTAACCCACATGCAAATAGGGCTGTATTCCTTTCAGCACTAACTGCTGGAGTCCAGCTCTCATGAGACTTCCTGTAGAAAATGAACCAAGAGACCCAACTTACTAGGTGACAGTAATGGCATGGTGACTTGGTAGCTGCTGCTGACATTGCCAGCATCGTTATGGAGGCTGACAACTAGAGTACTTATTCTTTCATAGATGGACAACTACAGATGTCCAAACAAGTGCACTTCCTCCTATGGAGAAGGGGAGGGATACTTCTGGACTAGCTAGTGCTGAACTCCTGTCTAGTCCTAGACTGACCCTCCCTTCCTTCCAACCCCTCTCCAAAAAAGCTGAATCCTTGAGGTGGAGTAACAGTTGGTACTTAAGGCCAACTTATCTCCTGACATAATGGAGGTGCTGAAGGGCTTCATAAGGCCTAGATTGAGCTTGCAGCCTATCTCTGCCATCTGCATTTGCAGTAATGCAGAAACTATCCTGAGCCTGTCTAGCAGAAGGTTGGCTTTTAATGCCTTAGCCTTGAGTTGGAAGTGCTTGTTCTCCCAGAACTAGACCTTGCCCCTGGGAATGCCAACTATCAAACTAGTGAGGGGAAAGACTCTCTGTAATTTGCTTTTCAAGATGGCTTTCTTAGAGTTGCTGATAATTCTTTGAACTGTGTTAAAGAACATGCAATCTCTGTGTGCAAACTGCTGCAGCTTTAGTGAATGTACACTCTTTGCATTACTGCTTTAAACAACACTTTGTGGTCACTAGAACTTGCGACTCCTAGCTGGTACTAACCACTGCTCTAGTTGCAAATATATAGTAGTGTAGTGACTGCTGAGAGTAACTAATTCCAAGCCCTACTGAGTAGCTAAGGGGATGGGTCCATAGCAGTAAACACCAGCAGTACTGCTGGTTATCATCATGCAGTAGCTTCTAGCACACTCACTATTAAACTCCTCACTATGCCAGTCAACAGCCAACTCTGGCATTAAAAACCAAACCTGCTCGAGGGATGGGCTCTGAGTCAACACTCGGCTGCATGTGTCTACAGCCATCAATTTGACTGCTAGCTGGCCGCCTTTCCATCTGTCCACTCAACAGCCTCTGGCCTGTTTCTATGCATGTCTCTAGCCTAAAGCTACTGAAGCCAGAAGGCTCCAGCCACCACAATGTCAAGTTGAAGTGGGTGGCCCCATACTTCTTCCTTGTCCTTATACTCTTGGAGGGAGCTGCCCATAGCTATATCAATAGAATTGTAATTATCTAACTTCATCTTCTATTGTAGACAATGCCACACAAATTTTGCTAGCTGCAGGCCATGGCCTTGCTGTTTTGAATGTGAGAACTCATGACTATCGAACCCTCATCTCCACAAAGACTACACCTGAAGCTATTGCTTATGACTGGTTGAGAGAGACTTATTACTGGGTGGATGAAAAGAGAAAAATGTATATCTATATGCCTGGGAAGAACAGTACACTATTCTACCCAGGTAAATGCCTCTACAATATGGTATTTCTGGCCTGTGTTTTGTTTTTTGTCTCTCTTCTTATAAGCATCAAGACTTGGTGTAAAGTGATAATGGGGATCTTAATCTGAAGAGAAGAGGCTAGGACACTAAGATCTCTGGGGTTAGTCATCTTTGTTTTGGTTTTTAATCTGGATAAGACCAATGAATTGCATAAGCCCAAGATATGGCTTTACCCACTAAGAGCTGAAGAAAGCCATTCCAGATCAGGGGCCCTTCAGTTGCATTAGGCAGCTTCATTGCATCTTTAGTAACACTCCTACTAGTACTAACTCCACTACAGCAAACCTAGCCAGGCAAGGTTTAAGACTTCAGACCAATAAGGACAAGTGGGTATAACTGGCATCATTTTCATGAATACTTATTCAAATGAGCCTCTCCCTGAGCTGAGCAACCTTATTTTATCCATGGGGACGGGGATCACATGCAAGTCCTTCCAACCCTTTTCTCTCTAGATGTTGGAGAAGTGAACAGCATAGCAGTGGATTGGCTCACAGGACAGCTATACTGGGCCAGCAGCCACCCTCACATGATCTGTACTGGCTTAAGCGATAATCGGGGATATGTGAAAGTCTTGGAAAAGAAACTGGTACCAGAGCAACTGACTCTGTATCCAGAGAAAAGGTGAGAACTAATCATGGGCACAGCTGCCAGAAGTGTTCACCACTACCCTTGGATGTCTTCTAAAAGCACTTGTAGTAACTTGGGTCCTTCTGGCTAGATGTAGCAAGCAGAATCTGTCATCTAAATCATCTTTAGACAGAATTGCATTCTGTGCATGGCTGCAAGTGGTACTTCCAAAGGAAGGCTCTGGGGCTGAGTTTCTTGGTAAGACCTACCCCACTCTGGTAGGGGTGGCAGCTGAATTAGTCCTGACTTGTACTTCTGCAGCTACTTCCAGCTTTTGTATGAGTGCAAGAACATGTTATGCAGCTTTCTAGCATCTCTTGTAACTGCCCTTGCAGGTACATGTACTGGGTGAATCGTGGTGACAAGGGCAGGACTCTGATAGAAGCAGCAGGAATGGATGGCTCTGACAGACAAGTGCTTGCTGCAGTCTCCATGGAAGAACCATTGGGCCTGACTCTCGATCCAGTAACTGGCAGACTATACTGGATCAGTGAATACAAAGAGGTATAGTGAAAACCATAGGCACTCCCACACATGGTGTGGGAGGCTTAACTAACTAGCAAGCTATACTAATTAAAAGCACCTGACCACATGTATGGGTATCCTCTGCACTAAAAAATGGTGGCATGGCACTCTGAACTAAAAGCTCATTTGAACAAGCTTTAGTTCAAAGCATGCTGCTGCCACTCTTGAACATGGGGATGCTGATGCACATGATGCATGGCTTTTATTTTTGTGCTCCCAGCAGACCCTAATTAGCATGAGAGCAAGCTCCCTGCATATTTATAGGAGTCTCATATTTCCAGTAGCAAAAATGTTAAGCTGCCTTGTTACAAGGGCAGATCAGACATAACAAAGCCTATCCTCTTGGAGATGGAGGGGATAAAAACAACTCGCCAATTGGTATCAGTCTTCCAAAAGCTTGTACAGGCTGTCCTTCCAAAACTACTTTCCAAGGCAATCTGCCTGGCATGAGCTTGCAATCTGCCTTGTTACTTGGTCTGATGCCTCTACGATATCTGATAGGCTAATCAAAGCAAAAACATGCATACTCTGAAAAGGCAACCAAGATCCCTTGCCTCCCAAGTCCATCCTTCCTCCTACACTATCCCTTCTGCCTCCCCAAACATGCCAGATCTTCTAACTTCTTCTCTTCCCTCTTTTCAGTCTATTGAAACAATAAAAATTGATGGCAGTGGGAGACATACTTTTCCAGAGATACTCATGAATCATCAAGACCCTGTGGGACTTGCTGTATTTGAAAGCACCTTCTTCTGGGCAAGTGAAGACCATCTTGTGTCTGTTTCTTGGGACTCCCTAGAGAAAATGGAAGTGCTGCTGAATGCCTCCATCTCTGCCTTCACAGTGCTGCATGAGTTGCAACAGTCTCCACGTGAGTTGCCTTGTTTTCATAAGTATGTCCTTGCATCCTGAGAGCAAGAATCCCAAATAGGAAGGAACAACTTCTCACTGTAGCTGCTGTGGCACTTGATGTGCAGCTGCACCCAGTGCCCATACACTGTCACATTTGAGCAATGTTGCTCCAACTAGCTTCCATGGCTGGCTAAGTGCTACTCATACAGTGCCTCTAAGCAAATAGTACTTGAAAATACTAACTAGTAGCTCCAGTCCTCCTAGGTCACTTCTTCTTTCTCTTTCCTAGTGGAGGACACTGAATCCTCCAACCTCCAGCTAAGCAAAACTTTGCCCTTTTTTGCCTGCTCTGGCTAATATTAACTTAATCTTGGATTGCTTGGTTTTTAAACAATTGGGTCTCCAAGAGCTTTAATGCTGCATAAAGGGCTTTTAGAGTAAGATAAAAGCCTTCTTTAGTAGAAATAATACCAAAGATGGTCAGCATTGGGTCTTAACTAGCCTAACATCTAGTGTATAGATGGCATAAGATACACACTAATGATGATAAAGGCAAGAGCCTGAGTGACCCAAGGGCCAGGGAGAGCTTTTTGGATTAAATAGGGAGAGCCTAGCTCCAGGAAAAGGCTGGGCATCCTTGGAACAAGAGGTTGGCATGCTCTGGTTGGCACCAGCAGAGTATGGAACCAATTTAACAAGAGTTTCTCATGTCATCTTCAACATTAGGATGAACCAGGACTACCATGAACTGCTACCCCTAACCTCTTCTTCTCTTACTAGGGAACACTACTACATGTACTCCAGGATCTTGCAGTCACATCTGCCTCCTGTCACCTGTCCATCCAAAAGGCTACAAGTGTGCTTGTCCAGAAGGCATGTTCCTCCTGCCTTCTGGAAAATGTACAGGTAGGCCTGGCTACATGTCTTGAGGCTGAGGTGTTTTTTTTTTTGTTTTGTTTTTTTTGGTGGGGGGGAAGCAGTTATCCATGTTGGTCTGAAGTTAGGTAGAAGGCAGGGCAGAGGGATAGCTAAGATTAAGGATAACAAAAAGTCCTTTTTCAAAGATATTGGGAGGATGAAGAAGGTGCCGGGTAATGTGGGACCCCTGCAGGATAC